AGTGGCCGGCCCAGCCTCAACCCGTGACATACCCCTTCCCTTAAAAGCGCTGGCCTCAGTCAAGAGTTCTGGCCGCAGTTTCCAGCTCGATGGAGTCACGGTGTAACTATGGGTAAGTAATTTCTTCCTACACTTAATACAACCCACAGAGGGTTTATTTTCAACCCAGACACTGCACGTGGCGGTTTGCAGAAGCCCCAGGCATGGCTGGTGGCTATTTGCTAGCTTTGCCTTTCCTAGGTGCTCAGGTTATCCAAGAGAAAACCCCAAACCAGCAAGGAAGGGGAGGCAGCTCATGGCCACACCAGTGCATCTGCAAAGCATCTCTGCCCCCGTCTCCCCCAGGGATTGCTTCCCCTCCCGGCTCCGCAGCCGAGGACAAGCCAGCCCGAAGGAGGTGCCAAGGGGAGCGCGGGGCCCCGCCACCCTCGGAACCCCAACTCACATCCTCCGCCCCGGTTCTTCACTTTGTAGTAGAGGTAGAGAGACAGCATCACCAGGTCTGCCAGCACGTAGTAAACCGCTGTGTAAACCTGCGGGGAGGAGGACGGGTTGGTCCTACCTGGAGAAAGGCTTCCAGCTGATGGCTGGGACCAGCCAGCATCCCTGGGAGAGAAGGGAGTGTCCCTGGGGAGAGAAGGGAGCATCCCTGGGCTGTTTGGGTCTCTGGTTCCTGGTGCTGGATTAAGCAGCACTCGTCCCGTCCCGTCCCATCCCTCTTCCCTGGAGTTCGGGGTGTTTGAGAGCCGACCCAGCCCCACCGATTCAGTCGGTACCTGCAGGGGCAACTGATCGGCCAGGAAGGAACCGATGAGGTTCAGGAGGTCTCCGCCCAGCCATCCCAGCAGGAAATAGATGGAGAGAGCCCGGTCCATGATGCCCGTTTTGCAGGCTTGGTAAAACTGCCTGCAGAGAGAGAGTCGGGCAGAGGCACAAGCTTGTAACCCCCAGCTGGGTTATAAGCCATCCCCAGGTTTCCCCGTTCTTCCCACCTGGATCATTTCGCAATGGCCACTTGCCCAAAGCACTCGGGAGGGAGGAAAAACCGAGATTTCCTCCAGCAAAGCCACGTGCTCCTCTGCAAACCGGCCCCTGCGAGAAGTCCTGCGACCCACTGGGTGCTCGCAGCGACCCGCTGGGCTCAAGCCCTTGTGATCCTTCCCTCGTGCTGGGGCAGAAAGCAGCGAGGAGAAGCACCGGTTGCAGAAACCGCCTGTCTGGTTACGAAATAACCTGATGATCCTCCGAGACCGAGCCTGACCCCCTCACGTCTCCCTCTGCCACCGTTGTCTCAGCACTTCCAAGAAGCCCAGGGCTCCTGCAAACATCTCTTCCGCACGTATGACCTGCAACGACTGCGTTGCAGTTGGCTGACGTGGGTTATGGCAGCTGCCAAGCACGAGAATAACAACATAATAACAAACAAGGCTTTGGGGCTGGAGCACCCGCACCCTTTCCTCCTGTTAAACCCAGGTTTTCCAAGCCCAGATTGCTTTTGCTGGGGAGAATTCGTCATTCCGGCAGCTTGTGCTTGAAATTTGGTTTTTAGAGAGGAGCGGGGTGCCAAGGGAAGGGCTCGGCCGGGTTTTGGGGAGCGATACTCACGGAAAAGACGCAGCTGCGAAGCAGAAGATGGAAACCAGACCCAAGACGACGCTGGCGATGTCCCGGCCGTCCTGAGCGCATTCGTTGAACACATCCATCACCCAGTGGGAGCCGTTGGGACAGTCGGAAAGATTCCCGGGGGGGGGACCCCTCCAGCGCCGCGCATCCATGGCCTCAGCTGGAAGGAGGGATGTTTGTCAGCGTCTGGCAGCGAAACTGTTGGGATAACGCTGGGGAAAACGCGAGAACGTGGGGAAAAAATTAAATCACACCGGGGAAAAATAGATTTATAGTAGCCACAAGCTCACGGCTCCTCTGGCTGTGGCTGGAAGCTGGTTTGTGTTGCAAAAAAACTTCATTATTGGCTAATACACCTTTACTGGTCTTAATTCTGCATCCGGTGGGATGACCCGGCGGGGACGGCATCAGCCCGGCAGGATTTGGCGTCAGCCCGACAGGATTTGGCCTCAAAGAAGAACTAAAACCCAACCAGCACGTCCTTGAGGAGCAGGGACTTACCTCGCTCGCCTTTGGAAATCCGCTTTTTCTTTGGAAACCCAATTTGCCAGAAACTTGGGGGTTTCGGGGTGGGTTTTTTTCTTGGCAAATCCGCTGCTTCTTCAGGAACTCGCTGGGTTTCCTTTGGATTTCTGCTGCTTCTTCAGAAACTTGCCGCTTTCCTGCCCAATCAGCTGCTTCTCCGGGAAGTTGCCGGGATTTTTTGTGCAGATCTGCCGCTTTTGGGGGGAAATAACCGGGTTTTCGGGTTTGTTGTTTTTTTTTTTTTTGCAAACCTGCTGCTTTTTCAGAAATTTGCTGGGTTTGTTTGCAAACCCGCTTTGACGGAAACTTCCTGGTTTGTGCCCAAAGCCGCCTATTGCTGGGTTTTGTCCAAAACTCCCTATTTTGGTGGGAGCCGGCGCGTAACCGCAGCGGCCCGCGGAGCGACCCGGCGCCGCTCGCCTGCGCATGCGCGCCCGGACCCTGTTCCCCCC